ATCTTGTTTCTACCGGAACGCGGCACCGCGCGATCGACCCTGTGGAAATTATCGAGACACGCGATACGAATTACCAAGTATCGAATTTGGCGAAAGGAAAGAAGAAATAAGTACGAAATAAATAAATAGCAAACATAAGGAACGCGGGAGATAGATACCAAATAGAAGATTTTAGTCAATTAAAAAGAATATGAAATAAATAAAAATACCCGAGTAATTAAACTAAATAAATAAATATCGAATATCAAGAGGTAAACATCAGAAATGAAATTTATTCTGCTGCGCGAAAAATAAATATCGAAATATCAAACGTCAGATTTGCTCCGTAATTTATCAAATTACCAAATGTCAAATATCAAATATCAGATCCGACTCATACCGAGAGCGCTGCACTCACGTTCTAGCGGCATTATTTATGACGCACACACCGGCGGTGTGTGTGCGCGCGTATGTGTAAGTGTGTGTATCGGGATCTCTTTAACGTGGCAGCTACTCTGTGTTCTATCTCGACATGTCGGCTATGATATATCGGTGGCACTCGGGATTTAATGCGGCACTTTTTATTGACATATTAAAAACTACCGGCATTAGGATCGCCGCCAGTCATGCGCGCCTCTCTGCAGTTTGGCGGCCGGGGGCGCAGTGGGGGAGGGGAGGGGGAGGGGGCGGGAGACCCGGGGCTTAAAATACCGTGACGGAGGTCGTGTTGTAAGTAAGTGCGTTGTCGTGTACACTTTTGTCGGATCGTTATTTCAAAAAAGGAAAAAAAAAAGGAAAAGCAAAAAGGGAAAGGGAAAACAAAAACGCCACTTGAAACTCTAAGCAGCAACGACCACCACTTCCTTCAGCTTCTCTTGAGAGATCGCTCTTAGAGAATCTCGAAAGAATCCTCGGCATCCCCCTCCTCCCGCGGCTCTCCTCCGTGGGACGAGGGTGCAGGAGGCACTTTGCGCGCGAAGCGAGCCTCTTCGCTCCATTTAACGTGATTTGCATACTTCAAAACATGCGGCGTGCACGCAGCGGAATTGCGGACTGGAGAATTGCGGGAGAAATCGCAAATCGTGCGTAATCGTGCATGAAATCACGATCGCGGAATAAAGCGTTAATTGCAGTCACAATGAATATCCTTTCGCGTGCGGAGCAAGCGGCGTGTAAATTTAAATTTAACGATATGTCGTGTCGTTATGCACAGTATTGCGCACATTATTGCGACATCATGCGGCAATTTATATTAATGTTGCGCTGCCGATCGCATTCTTGCAAAATGTTGCGAAATATTTCTCAGGCTGCCTGCGATAGTGCGCGGCTAAGGAGCAACTTTGGTCCGATTTCAAGGAAATTACGAGTATACGCTTATTATTCCTGACGTTGCACGTATTTTTACTGAGTTTGCAGCTGTGCAATTTGCTTCCCGACATTAATGATTTTATCTCTTTGTTGAATAACAATTTTAAACATGAATTTATTTTTGAATGTACGTACATGTTACATATTTTATTTTAGATATTTGTTCATTCAATAAGAAAAGACGGTGAAATCTTTTCTGATTTGAACAAATCGTGTCCCGTTCTCCAGGTTGGCCATTTCGGCGGCTGAGTCGTTAGTCATCGATTAGCGCTTCAGTCAGAACCTGGAAAGAATCACCACGAGTATAAAAAAAGGAATCTTCTCGTTTATGGCGCGTGGTACTCTTGTTTGCCCTTGCGCCGCGTTTGAAGCTCATCCTGGCCATAAAATAGACGGTGGAGATGATTCTCCACCTCCGCCTCCTTCTACTCCTCTTCCTCCTCCCCGAAAAGAGGCCGAAGTATATCTTTTCCGTGAAGATAAATCCGTCTGCCCCCGCGTGCCATATGTCGAGGATCTCGGAAAGTGTTTTCCGATTTCTCGCGTGCGCAACAGATGGCTAGGGACGGAGGGGGGGGGCGCTGCTCTCCTTCTGCCCGTTAAAAAGGAGGAAGTACCTGAAAATTGTTCAACGCCGACTCGCTTCTTTTGTCTTCTGCCACAGTGGTATCAGGTTTTTCACGAGACATCTCGATAAACGAGCCGTCTGACCGTCCGGCGGCCGACGGACTTGGAAGGGACGCAGATGCGACGACGCGCCCCCTCGGGGACGACTCGGGGAGGGGGGAGCGGGACGGAGAACGCGCGCTCGTGGCTCGCGAAGGGACGGTCGTCTTCTATTATAAATCATAAGGTTGATTATGTTAAAATCCGTCGGCTCATTAGTTCGCGAAATATCGTCCGGATCTTCTCTCTTTTTCCTCCCTTCCCCCTATCTAACTCGTCCTCACGAGTCGGAACGAACCCCAAGGCTATCTAGTCGGCACCATGGCGACCGGCGCGGCGTAGAAAACAATTTGGACGTCCCATTTTGGTGTGGGACGCGCGCGCACACGCGAGTAAGCGAGCGGGGGCCTTAATTAGTCCCACCGTAGCAGATTACCAATCAGCGATTCGGGAATTACGACGCGGTGATTCTCAGGGAGCCCGCTAACCACAACACTCCCCTTCCGTCTTTTTCCCCTTCTGTTTTTCTTTCTCTCGTTCTCTCTGTCTGTCTCTAGTCCGCTTTCCCTCTCACTTTGACTCGAACAGATCGCCGGGAATTATCTCAGTTCTTTCCTCCCTTTCCTCTCTCGATTTTTTAATTCGCTGAAATTAAAAATCCCCCCCTCCCCTCCCCGTTACGTTTATCTCCGCGAAACGAGAATCAACGCTCGCTTACTCGCGGCACGGCACGACCCCTGCCTCGATCGAGATATCGTCTCTAATCTTGAGATTGTCGCACTCCTGCGTGTTGTGCGAAAATTTACAAAGATCTTTCACGGTCGTGTTGCGTGTGTCTGGGACTTTTTGTCCGTTAATAAATTAGTCGTGGTTATCGTTAACGACCGCTATTAACGTTACCGTCACGTAAAGATTAATATTAAATTGTTATTGATATTATCGAAAAAGTTACTTCGGATTCGACAAAAATCTATCTTGTTGTTGCAATTATTTTTCAATAGAAAATCGGAAATTTTATTACTTCATCGTCGCACCCGCGTATCATGGAAATCTAGAAAAATCTTTCACGATTGTGACACATATTGCCGTTTGAGTTTTTCATCCATTATTAGTCGTTATTATCGTTAACATGTTGATGATATTACTACCGTCACATAATAATTAACATTGAGTCGTGCGTCACGTTATTTCAAAATTAAATCCAGTTTTCAATAGGAATTATTTTTTAGTAGAAAATCCCCCCTTCCCCCGAGATTACTTATTACACATTCCGATAGAATAAACACGACGATTGATATTATCGCTGTGATAACGAGCGTGAGAAATTATTAGGCCGTTTTGCAAAATGACGAGAAGAAGAGGAAATGGCCACGGCTTCGATCTCGACCTCGATCTTGTCCCCGGCAAATTAACGAACGAGCGCCGGGCCAGTTCCCGCGGGACCCGCGCATCAGGGACCCTGACACGATGATCTCGCCATACGCAAGTCACGGAAATAGCAAAATCGCTCGGGGGGACGGCGGCGGGGCCCGCTTGCTTTTCAATCAAATGACGTAGGAGACCGCGAGCGCGCAGAAGTCCCAGAAGAAGTTACTCGGCAGAAATGAGAAGGGCAAAGAAACCCATTCAATTTCGGCGCAAATCTCCTCGCCCCCTCCCTCCCTGCCTGCGTCTTGTCCCCCTCGGCGACCTTAAACCGATCCCCCGGAGGAAACTGTTAAATCTATTACGGCTCTCTAAAGCCCGATCATGATCACGTCCCGTGAAGAGGGTCGAGAGAATCCCCTGGTCGAGGTGTGTTGCATCGGCCGGATGATCGTAGCGAGGGAAAAAGAAGAAGAAGAAGAAGAAGAGAGAGAGAGAGAGAGAGAGAGAGAGAGAGAGAGAGAGAAGGGAAGGGAAGAGAAGAGAAGAGAAGAGAAGAGAGACGGGTGCGGCGAGGAGGAGGAACGGCTGAGGGCGGCCGAGGACAGAGTGGGGTGGCGGGAGGGGGGGGGGAGAAGTGTGTTTTGTAGTTTCGGTCGGTCGAAGGAGCAGGTAGATAGGTAGGCAACGGTCCCCTGAAATCGCTCGAAAAATGAGGGGGCACGTCGGGAGGACCTTCTAATGTTTTTCTCTCTTTCTTTCTTCCTCGTCTCCCTCTCTATTAGCTCCGTATCGGACTGCCTCCCTCCCTCTTCCTTTCGGTCCTCTCTTTCTCGCTCGCTCGCTTGAACGCGATGTAATCGCGCGACGCGTCCTCCTCGAGGACGACGTGGAAGAATGGCGGCGACGAAGGGGTGAAAACCGCGAGCGCGCCTCTCCGACATGGTCCTCCTCTTTCCGTGACGATCGCGTCCTGTCGTCGCCGACGTCCTGCGGTTCAGCTCCTCGTGAGCCGACGTGATCGCGCCCGAATTGATGAACGTGGGATTCGGGCAATGGGTTTTCGTGTTCTTTCTCTTCTTTCTTATAAATATAAATGTATATATTTTTACACGTATGTACATGCTTAGTCGAACATATGCTAATCGAGTTCCAGATATTGAGCTCCTAATTGAACACTGAATTAACTGTAAACAAAGAATGGTAAAAAATGTCTCAGATCATTCTCGAAAGCGTAAGCCGTAAAAAACACCTTAATCCTCGGAATGTCAGAAGAATGCATTCAGCTTCAGTTTGAACATTCGCAAGAATCGATTCTTACTCTTCCTCAGGAGTACCCTCGGAAACAAAGAAACTCCACTTATTTTTCACTGACAATAGAATAAATGAATTCTTCGCAATCGTTCGCCATTGCGGCAAATTTGAGATTATTTCAATCGCATCTCCGCTTTCTCACCCGCACCGTGTTTATTTCTTACGTACGACGGGTTCACCGCTGAGAGAAGTGAACCGATACCGAAATTCACGTTTCTTCGTTTTGCGTGCGCGTGTGTGCGTGTACGATATTGCGTAGTTCCAGTCGTATTTCATTCGGACGCCGAAGAGAGCCGCCTCCGTGGTTATTCTTGTCTGCGCTAAACGCGTCTGCTTTTCCAGCCAGAGTGTATTTGTTTTATCGTCTCTGGTTTTTATCTCTCTTTGTATCCGCATAAACATTTCCAACTCTGAATAATATACTAAAAATAATTACAATGTATGCTTTCGTGCAACGATACGTGCTACTAGAGGATTGTTGTGTGTATGAAACGATCGGTGAACATTCTGCAACTCCCAACGACGGTGTCGCGAATAAATCAAACGAAGAGAGCACCGTTAACGTCGTTTTGGCGTTTTTGCAAACGCAGTCAGAAGTTGCGGCAACGATACTGTCGCTGAGAGCAACAGAATAGGCTTAGGATAAGTGAGACGTACTAAAAAGACTCATTCCCTCGAGATGAACTGCGGAGAAGTCGCTTTATCTCAGCAGTGAAGCCCTCGTACAGAAGCACCGACAATTATTAATACTAATTACCAACACGTGGCTGGAATCGTTCTGATTCTCTCTTTCTTAAGTTAACCAGTGGACTTTGCCAACGTAACGCCCGCGCGAAATCGCAAAAGCGCGAAATTTGCGGGAATTTTGGGAAGCGAGCGAGTTCCAGCCGAAGAGGAAGATCGGCCGCGCGTCGTTGTGCATCGAGCGTTGTGAAACGTCTCGCGCGTAGGGTCGCGCGAGTAGAGTGTGGCGAAGCGAAGGGTCCACGGGGAAGAATAATAAGCCGTAGGAACGGACCTCGTGTAAGCCCTTATCTCCGGCACGTTCATCTCTCCCTCGTCGAGAGGCCGGAGACACCCGATATATGGCGTATACCCCGCGCGGACGCGCGTTATCGGAATATTAACGTTCCTCTTGGCGACGCGGGTAACGCGATGACACGGCGGATAAAGCGTGTAAACGGCCGCGGGATTCGTCCTCGTCGTGGTCGTCGTCCGTGGCTCGTTAATCTCGCGCGATTGAATATCAGTCTTCGAAAATTAAGACCCATCATCTGTAACTTTGTTTTCGCGCCCCTTGATCGCGGCGACGCGGCGTCGTCGTCGTCGTCCTGTGGGATTTGTTTGCCGAGACCGGAGGACGCGGCCCTCATTTGAGCGCTGTAACTTTATTTTCACACCCCTCGATCGGCAACGCGGTGTATCACCGCCCTTGGAAATGTATTTTCCCAGATCGGAAAATGCACCTCGCGCTTTAGACCGAACGTAGAGCCTTGTAACTTTATTCCCGCACCCTTCGATCGGCAACGTAATATTTTTGCCCCGTGGAACTTGTTCCTCGAGACCGGGAGACGCGTCTCGTGCTTTCGATCGATCGATCGCGCGACTCTTGTGCACTTGGTCTCAACTCCTCCATTATCGTCTGTTCGAATTATTCATTGAGAAAAAAAGCGATTGAGTCAACAAGTTGACGTCATCCTCGTTGGAACAAAAAAATATTACGTCCACTAAACAAATCGCGTGCACTAAACAAACACGAGAGAACGTTGGCCGCAACTTTCAGAAACGTCCTTGCTTCAGTTTAGCTTAAATTTTAATTTAACCCGTTAATTTAATCGGTACTTTTTAGACAAAGAAGGATTGTCCGAAAAACAGTTGTTTTCTCGTTCGTTACGTTGATGTGGTCGCTGGCCAAATCAGTCAATCGAATCAAAGTTGACAATTTATGTCACGGCAATTATAATATTAATTCGCAAATTAATAATATATCAACTTATAATACTAACATTTAATATTAATTTACGAATTAATATACGTTAATACCGTGATTACCGCGACGAATTGTCCATTGATTCGAGTGCGATCGATCGCGATGTGAATCTTATATTAATATATGATATTAATATATAATATCAATATTATAATATTAACTTATTCAACATCACGACTGACGAAGTTTCGTTGATTCCATTATTTTCTTCCCGCCTCGTTGTGTTTCTACGAAATAGAGATTACGCGTGATACGAAGCTTTCCATAGGAAACAAATTGTTGGAGTACGCGCGACTCACGCGCGTGTCACGTCTTGTCGATCAACGATTGTCGATCGCGATTCGCAGTTGGAGGAATCGCGTGCCCGACGCGCGGGTTTTGGCAAATACGAATTCCCCGCTGATGAGCATGAGAAGAAACGGCGCGCACGATATCTTGTCGTTAGCTCGTAGGATCTCACACGGTCATCACCGGCGTCGTCGCCGGCGGCTGCTTGTCACTGCCGTTGCTGTTGTTGACGGCGTGCGTGGAGTCCGTCAGATTTGTTGTCTTGGGCCAATCCGACGTGTTCGGCTCTTGATCTTTCTCCAGATCGACGTAATACAGGTGCCGGGCGGCGCAGCAAAGCAACAGCATCTCGATTAGCATGAGCGAGTTGAGAGTCACTGAAATCCGAAATAGGAGAGATAACGTCGTATCGATGGACAGATTATGAAATATTACAGATAAGAAAGATAATAAATAAGATAATAAAGGCTCTCGAGATTTGCAATTTAATTGGAAATCAAAGTCCGATAATAGCCTGTGCGCGATTATTGTTGCGCAAAAGAAATGTTATTCCACCTTACTCGACCTTACTCCATTGAGTCTGAATGGGCTTCCACTGGGTGTGTGAATGAATGTCGTGTTTGTTCGCTCTGATGAAAAGAAAGACTTACGATATCTTTATCGTAAGAAAGCAATACACGTTTACTCTTCGTGATTTCCTTCACCCAAGAAAAAAATAATTTCAGAACAAACGGAATCATCTAAATTTTAGAGGATTTTATTTTTATACATGGCTTCAAGAGGATTTCTCTAAGATTAAGAGGAAAATATTATAAACACATTATTCTTAAAGTTAGAGGGATTATACGTTATGTGTATAATGCAAATCTTGTTGACTTTAATATAAATTTCCTCTTATACACAGATTATTTAATCTTCTTGTTAGAGAATTATCACTTATTCGTATTGTACTTTATTCTTACTGGTTATACTAGTTAATTTGAAAAAAATTATTATAATGTATAGCGAAAAGTAATATATATATATATATAGATATATATATATATATATATTTAACTATATAGTTGTACTTCTGGCTCCAGTTCTATACAATAAGTAGGTACGAATGAAATAAGACCGTCATAACAAATAAATTTCCAATCAGTTTTGTTATGGACTTCATAGCTACAGAGATGTTCATCATAATCAATTGTATGAAACGTAGTTAAAAGAAAGAATATATTATTCAACTTCTTGCAATAGATTATAAATTATATTCGATCAAATATGGATAAATTATTTTCGTTATATGTTACAGCAACACACATACCTTTTTTAAAAAGGATTTCAAATATTCTGACTCATGAGGCTGACATGATGGTTATTTTTTTGTTCATGTCTGAAGGAAGAACATAACTGAACAAAAGAAGCCGATATTCAAATCAACATATTTCTCTTCATATAAGAGGGAAATTAATTGATATAAGAGGAAATCCTCTTGAAAGAGCAAAACAGTTAGAATAATATCTAGTAAATTTTAAATGAATGGTTTACTTTAATCGCTTTATCGAAAGAGGAATCCTTTTTCTGTAAAAGGCTTTGCTTAGAATATGAAATTATGGGAAAAATCACTTTACAAATAGAATACTTTTGTCGAGTGTTCACTTTGTGAAAGACTTGGAATCTGTTGGAATGCGCATTGAAATTAATTAAAATTAAAAATCCCGCAAATGTTTAATGACGAAAAATTCTGCATTATCGGATGATTGCGGGATGAGTGAAAATCACGTCCGACAGTTTTGGCCATTTTCTTCCATCCCGAAGTGCGCGTGTCCAGAAGAAACGTCGCGATTAGCCGACTGTGTCAGCCGATAATTCGTCGCAGCGATTACAATATTAAAATGTGCAATACTAAATTGCAAATTGATATTATGCATCGGTCATATGCGAAACGTATAATTTTGTCACATAACGTACAACGCGCGCTACGGAACGCAGCGGCGGAAATTAATTCACGGCACGTAACGTAACGAGTATATTCACATGCAGCAGTCGCGCGCGCGGATGCTGCGTGACGTCTTTCTTCTGTGAAACGGGTCCCTTTGTTACACTTTCGGCCGGTGTCGTGGGTCGAGAGCACGAACCGCCCGTGCGCGGTCCCCTGGCGCGACGTGAAAAGCCGCGACGCATTCTGAATTCAAGGATGAGCGATCTTATCGCAGCCGAGGAGAGAGACGTGCCGAGCCGTGAAATCGTTCGTGCAATCGTTCTCTTTTTTCCCGCTCCTTTTCTCCTTATCGGATCTTCGTGCCGGAGCGCGATATAATGACGTGAAACGGTAACCGCGGTCGACGGTTCGCGGCGCACAAGTAGCGTAATGCGTCCCCCGCGGCCTAATAAGGACGTTAAATAATTCATTAATCACTCGTCTCTCGCCTGCCCGATGCACAATAACGAGGGGCTGTATTTATGATTTCCATAAGATACAACTACGATCTATCCGACCATGAATACTGAACGAAATTATGCTTATTGTGTCTCTCGCGTATCTCTCCAATGAATAATAACGAAGCGAGTCGTGTTCAATTTTTTTATTCTGCTCTAACTTAACTTGGCTCGAGCAATTTGACGATAGATCACTTTGCTATCTTGCTCGTTTTAATTTGAATGGAGTAACTACTCGGCGGTCACACAACTATTCTTCCCTTCTATTTTAATTCAGATCAGATAGTTTTTCCACGTAGTTGATCGTTTTTTCTTTTATTTTTTTCTAATTTGATTCCAACGAAGTGATGCTCAGTGGTTGACCATTTTCCTATTCTGTCCAGTTTAATCTGGATCAAGTCGGTGGTTGACAATTTTTCTATTCTGCTTACGTTTCATTCAGATGAAATAGTCTAGTGGTTAATCATTCCTCTATTCTGCTTCAATCGGATTTGTTCTAATTTCATTCAAACGAAGTGGTTTAGCGATGTTAACCGCTTTCCTATCTCTCTCTCTCTCTCTCTCTCTCTCTCTCTCTCTCTCTTTCTCTCTCTCACTCTAATCTTAATGGAATAATTTGTGAGTCAATGATTTTTGTGTTTTGTCGAATTTCATTTGATATCGAATTCTGTCTATGGCACAGGAAGTTGGTTTCCGATGACACTAGCGATTATAAAGATATAGACTCTTCCGCGGTTCGGTCAGATATTCTCTCCTCGCTGCGGAATCTTTGTTAATATTTCGCGTCCATACGTGTCGAATTCCGAAAGCCCCGGATCTTGATCTAGTATCTTTAGAACGTATCTCCCACAGAAGTAGACGATAATCTTGGCTAGAGTACAAAAATGAAGGAAAATTGGCAGCGTGCCATTACCATTGGCGTAGACCTCCGGGGTGAGGGGCGGGTTGCACGGGAACAGGCCCGATGCGGGAAGACCCTTGACGACGATGCTCGCTTGCAGTTTAGAACACAGCAGGACCAACTGCGACACCAACGTCTTGAGGTGTAACTTGGCCTCTGCGGAAACGAACGTCATCGTCGTCGGTTGGAAGCGTTTATTTCTATTGACGCGGCGGGGTATATACGTGCGACCCCGCGCGTCGTCCGCGTGTATGTACGCGCGTGTGAGAAGTCGCGCGGATGACGGAAGAAAATGGACGGAAGTCTCGGCTCTTGCCGGGATCTTGAAAAATCGTTTCTCGCTTTGACGTCTCACTCTAAGGTCTGCTATAATTGCTATTGTCCGTCGGGTCAGACGTTATACGCGTCGGACGCGTTTGACAAATGTTCCCGGACAAGCGCGAAATTGCGTCGCGTCGCTCAAGGAGTCGACCTTCTCGAGTTTCATACGCCAATCCGATTATATTCCGCGCGGAGGTCGACATTTCACACGAAACGGTAAAAAATATTGTGTGTTACAACATAAGTTATTAACATTTTGGATAAAATCGGAATTGTGTCAGAGAGTACAAAATATCGGAAAACATAATTCAATCTGGGTTTTTAATTTTTAATTAAAAATAGAGTAAAAATAATATTAGAAGGACTATTAATATTTTGAATCGAGTAAAGATCGTATTGCATTAAAAAATAACTACTGAATATTTCAAACCAAAGAAAATTCGTGTTATTAAAAAAATCGTTGGTATCTTATATGAAATAAAATATTTATTGTTGAATTAAATTGAGGCAAAAATTATGTAGTTTCCCTTTTACGCTATTGAAAGGGGCGTAATGTGGACGAATATTGCAAAGATTTTTTCCTCCTCTCAAAGGCAAAATTTTCCGCAGAAAATTTCGTTTGAGCATATTTTGCGTCTACACCGCGGTCTATCTCGCGTCTCATAAATCTGCTCGGCTTGAGATGTTCCTGCGGAGCGTTGAACCGAAGAGTGGGACGTTAACGTATCAATACTAATTGTTCGCGGCGGTGGTGTTGCACGTCGCGTTCAATGTAGAACAATATCCGTATATCGCTTTAAGTAAGATATCTCGATGAGTCTACTAATATTTTAATGACTCGCTATTAGCCTTCGGTATCTTGAGCACACACTCGTATCACGAACGGATGTGAAACGCGCGTGTGCACGCTATGATTAATCGGCCGACGTAGTCAGACGGTTATTGAAAAATGGCTACGCGATGCAGATGAGTCCCTCGATGAAAAATGTATGATGACGGGCGAAGCCTCGAATAAATAAGTATGGGCGCCTCATTACCTGGAGCTACCGCATGCAGGCTCTTCGTGGTGATGCTGATGCTGTACAGCCCCAAAAGTATGCTGACCACCACAAACGGCTGAAGGTACACGCTGTATTCCGAGGCGACGATCGGATCTTCCGCCGCCATGAGGAGATTTATGAAGTAAAGCAGGCTCTGAAAGTGCGAATTTTTCCTCAGACTCGAGGCGACGTCCGACACCGAAAATCTTATCCTCTTTCGCTTATTCTGTCTTATTGGCGTTTAAGCGACTTGAAAATTCGCGTTTATCGTTTTTATCGCGTTGCAATCTTATCCTCTCGCTCTTAATTTTCATTATCATCGATGCGATTCTAATCTGCTTACGTTATCCACTTGGTGGCTTCCTCGTTTTGCCTCCGTAGAATTTTACAGAAAGCAGGCAATAATATTTATGCTTTGAGAATCTTTGTCCTGAATGTCGGGTCAGGAATATTCTTTTTCTCCGAAAAGATGAATTGTGATTGTTATGTTCTTATTTCGAGGTGCTTGAAGTGACAGGAAATTTTTATGTCTCTCAGGAGGCTCACAGAGACTACTGGTTGAAGGAAAAATAAGTATCTCGAGAGGGGAAGGTTTCAAGACGCCGAAGTTAAGTAAGCGTGTACGCCGAAGTTAAGTGTGCACGCCGAAGTTAAGTGTGCACTCCGTTTTATGTCACAGACACGTTACTTCCGCCTCAATTACGGGAGGCCGCTTGCCTGCATATCGATTCTCCGAACCGCGCTTAAATAATACATTGCAGAATTAATTATGCAAAAAGGACACCGTCGAATTTATAATATCGTTATACAGATCAAAAAGAGGAGAAAGGAAAATTCAGTTCGATCCTTGATCCTTTCGACAATAAACTGCCAACGTCTTTCACGATCGGCTAAAATGTCCACGAAAAAGTCGTTGACACAATAATGGTAATTAATAATTCAATAATAGCGTACAATACGAAGCTCTATAATGATAAGATAGAATGATAGTACTTCTCGATATTCGATTCAGTCAGCAGTGGAGCAAGCGGTAAAAGGCAGAAATGAAAGCTTATACGCTGATGTTGATTTGCAGCGTTTGATTAACAATTGTCAACATTAAGCGTGATATTAAAAATTTGAGTGATTACTAATCCGATTAATCGACGAGCAATTTCTGCTCGCGTCGGACGCGATAAAGTCAGGTTTGGCTCAGAAATCGAGCCGAATCCCACGGCCATCCGATAACGATCAATCTCCATTGCAAATTGCATTCCGCGTATCGCGAAAATTCGAAGGAGCGCGCGGGCTGCCTGGCGATGATGGTTCCCGTCGGTTCTAATCAGCCCGACAGGCAATTATTCCGCTCGAGAGCAGCGATAATCGAAGCGTGAAGGGCCGGGAGGGGGCTGAGAGAGGTAGACCGGGCGAGAGAGGGGTGGCAGGGAAGGGGCGAGAGAAAAGGGATTCTTTACCTGGACGATAGGAAGTTGCAGGGCCAAAATTCCTAGCCAAGACAAATTGGCGTCGGTCATCTCGAGGCTCGGGAAGGGCAGACAGGGCCAGCAGCAACACGGCCCGACTCGCAGTATCAGCGACGGCGTCTCGGTTATCTTCCTGCGACCGACGTCGAGCAGCAGGAGATAGAGTCGATAGAGGGATATCGTTAGAAAAACTTGAGTCACCGCCTCCGAGAGTAGCTGGCCCCTGTCGAAAGTCGTACGAGCGCTTGTTTTAGAGTCCTGTGTTCTGTGTCGAGACGTCGCGACGCAATTTTGCACTCACGGGCCGATTAAAGAGCGATTATCATCCGGTTAGTTACTTTTTGTGTGCTCGGTAATACCCGAATGAGTGGTTGGAATAATATTTGTTGTGCCGACGGGGCCGGGCGATTGAAGCCTCATTTCGGAAGATTACGATAACTAACAATGCAAACACCTTTCGTCGCGAAGATAAGCGGATCTGGAACGTGATGACGTTTCAAGTATACAAATTGACAATGATGAGTAAGGCGAAGTGTGTATCGGTCGAGAGAATTGAGAGCAGAAATTAAAACGCTTAGGCCCAGTTCCACAACTTGCTTTAAACTCCGGGAGTTTGGAGCTAAACCGGTGGTTAAAAGCAATAGTATATGCGCATATACTATTGATTTTAACCATCGGTTTAGCTTTAAACTCCGTTTAAAGCAAATTGTGGAACTGGGCCTTAATCGGACTGAAAGAAACGCAATGACTTGCATTTCCGCTCGCACTTGCAAAACGCGGATGACCGTCTCTCTTTATTTCTGTTTTTTATTTATTGCTTATTATTTTTTGCAGAAAAGTTGATTTACCCAGACCCCACGGGAACACGTTGATTTTTTTTCGACGCGTAAGCAGTGATTCGCGCGTATTTTCGTTTCATGCTTCGCCGATGCCGAGTTTCTCTTGTTTCGTTATCATGGTGTTGCCGTAATGGGCTCACATTTTTCTGTTATTTATTCTACCTTGGTATCGCAATTGCCGTGAGACTGCATATGCTCGCGACCGGATACACCGACAGGATCACGATGACGTTCGCCTTGTAGAACTTGGAGTCCTTTTGTGCGCGAACATTGTGACAGGCATCGGCCGCAAAGTACAGCGTCAAAATTGAAAGTATCGACCCGACGGTCAATAATCCGATTCCAAATCCGTTCAGGCCTGCAAAAGATACGCTGCATTATTACGGCTGGTACTCTCTAACTTTTTTGCAATGAAATCCCGCTGGAATCAAGCGAGAAATTCATTCAGAAACGAATCGATAAAATATCGATTTCGCAAAAGTGAACGTTTCACTCGAGCTTAGAGCGGATTTTGAGTCTATTTAAGTAAAATCTATTCCAACTACGTATCTAAATCTGAAAATAATTCATACATACATAATTGAAAATAAACTACTAATTCCTATTATTATGTTACATTTAATTACAGCAGACTAATTACTATTGATGTAACTATGATTATTATAAATTATTAATTATTATCATAAATTTTATACGCAATTAAAAACAAATAATTTAATTTAAACAATTTAATTTAATAATAAATAATATTTGGTGAAATAAAATAAATATTTGATCAGTTCTCAAATACGATCAGTAATCAAATACTTGTTATACTTCTAATATTAACCAAATAAATATTTGTTTAATTTATGAGCTATTTAAGTTATGTATAACTTAAAAATAAATGGTTAGAATAAAGTTGTTCCGCGGCAGTGAGAGATATGTCGGATTTCCTCTCACACATTCATTCGCTAATTTCGAAGAGAGATTTCACTCTATACACGAGTGCAATAAATTCAAAATTATTTAAATTCTAATGACTTAATTCTTCGAGTGAAAGTTATCAGAAATCTAGAGTACATTCAAACAAAATTAAATGTCGACGACCGAGCGATTTTAATGTTACAAAATCAGGCGAAAAATTTGCTTTGCGCTCGAAACGGTTATCAATAATATTTTATGAGGGTCATTTTCGGCGTACAAATTAATTTTTACCGACAAACGCTACTTAATATACAATACATAATAATAAGCAATAAACGTAAAAATATTTTTTGTGCATATTTGCATATTTTTCTTGCATAAATGTCATATGCTTTTTGCATATTTATCGTGCACAAACATCCGCAGTTTATCATTTTTCGCGCAAAAATTTAATTTCGTCACGGAAACGCGCGATTTCTATTGAAATCAATAGAATCAATAGAGTGCAATTAGCGCAATTTTTTTCGGGACTACGAGTCCGAGACGGCGATTCGCGCCGTCTTAATATTATTATATGTTGTTATTTTCATCATATTTTGTCTGCGACGTTGGCAGATTAGGTTTATCGCTGGATATTTTTGTCACGTTTATTATAACTTCGTCGCATGAGAAGAACGCGTATCGTTAAATCTTAATTCGTGTTGTCGCCTGATCTCTCGATCGATTTATAAGACGATATCGTGAGATAACTCTCTCGAGGGTTTCTTGCAAGTGCGTTCGGGATATCTGTTCGTGATTGTCGTCCGCGGGCGATTCGCCGTTATTTTTGCGTGTTATCTGTTGCGCGGAAATCTGTGAGATTAAACATTCGCCGAAGCTTCGTAGGTAGTCACGCAACACGCAAGTGTCATAATCGTGAATTATAAAATCAGGTATCAGGCTACTCGTCCGGAAAGATCGAGATTGCATCCTAATCGCTTAGATCGGAGATTGGGGGGAATCCGACCGATCGGAAGAATGAGTAGCGTGCTGGAAATTGGGACGCGATCGATCGGTCGTAGCGAAGATCGGGATTGTCGATCGGAATTTAGAGCTTGACGCATCCTTAATCTGCGAGCGCGATATCAAGTGATGCCGCGGGTTTAAGTGCCAACTAATAGTTGGCAATAGTTGCAGTTGTATCACCGAAAATAGAGATCATACTCTTTATGCTTATGTATGTACATCTATCATACGCAAATTATTTGCAATCTTTGATTGAAAACATACACTGAGAGAAAAGTATATGATATTTGGAACTATAATGATATAGTAACTAAATTATAGTTCGAAATATCATATTTATAGTATTACCATAATATCGGTAATAATTACGATATAGGGATAGTATCACCAACCAACCATATAATATTTTTACTAAGAATTATAGTAAGTTAAACTAAGATTATTGTATGGATACAAATATAAAATGGTGGATAAAGTAACTCTTTTATATAGTCAATATTATCAGAATATTTGCTAAATGATGACAGATGAATATTACTATATGAATATTAAATCTCACTATATTTGTGAATGAGAAATTACTATACATGTGGTAAAAGTAACTAAATAATTATTTAAGACAATCATTGATTGTATATTTGTGTTTATTCTACTACATTTTGCAGGTTCCACAAACTATAAAAATATGGTTGACGCCAAAATGAACTATAAAATATAGTGAGATTATAGTTAATTCAGCTATATTTTTCTATCAGTGTAATCAAGTCAAGAGATCGATATGCGTGGATCATCATTTGGCTTTCTTGTAGGAAAAATAAGTCTACAATTAAGCTTTAATAAAATAATAACGTACGCCGTATGGTATAATGTGATATATCAAGCTGCCACAATACAACAAATTAGCCGAATAAAATCAGTCATAATGCATGCGCATTTCCAGGTACGAGGCTAATCACCAGACAGACTAATGAGTTTTTGTCTGATAAAAAATTATTTCACCGGAATACTTGATAAACATTAATTCATCAGAATGTGTCTGCATATCTGCGATAAATGTTGATTTATCATTTCAGTTCAATTTGCGAAAATTGTATAATATCAGCATCTAACAAGTCATAATATCAACACGTAATAACGCGTAACAATATTAATATGTAACTCACAGAGCTTGCGCTTTCCTGTCAGTTAATAACAAACCGAATACCGATCTCGACAAGGAAAAGTTCTCAACTACCGCGTTTGTAACTACCGCGAAGCTATCACTAGCAAAGTACAGAAAGTCAAGAGGCAAAAGGCTTCTCTCGGGTTTACGTAACGGGAGAGTTAACGAACGAACGAGTTTTGTGGACGTCCTATCAATTCTTGTCGCGCTGCGCTCTTCACGCGTTTCTCTTAAATAGTGCGTATTTCTGCTCGGCAATTGCGACTGCTAATCGCAACGCGGACAATTAAAGCGCGATCGAGCAATCTTCAGTCATGACGTAACTCTTGATCTTGATTTAGATTATACGTAGCGTGCAGTCCAATACGGTAGGCTTATCGAGCATCGTTCCCTTGACTTCCTCGTTCCGTAAACTCCGTCGCGAGTAACGTAAACAACGGATAATGCTACTGTTTACTCACCGCCTGCTAAGTCTGCAAAAATAATTTAGTTGCACATTTATCTTGTGATAAATATATTTGCCGCGCAAGCTCAGCGACTGTCTCTCTTACACGTATGTAATATGCGAGAAGTTACGAAAACATCTGATCTCGAGAATTTATAGCTGCCTAAAATTGCTTCGTTAAGATTCTTTGAGAACGCGGCGCGTTTGTGCTGCGTCCAAATAAAAATGACGAATCCCTTTTCGACGGCATTTCGTTATCGAATTTTGATACTTTGATACTTTGGTATTTAATTATACTCATGCTGATTTCTAACGTTTACCTTTGTGTTCAACTAAAATTTGAATTACCACACTTTTGGCAATTATCCTTTTTAGCTTAAAACATTAGAAGTTATCAATTAAACTCTGATAATCGAATTAAATTATTTTGTTCAATTAAATTGAGGTTTGATTGAATTAAAATGAAAATAATAAATTTAATAATAATCGAATTAAATTATTTTGTTCAATCGAATTGAGGTTTGATTGAATTAAAATGGAAATAATAAATTTAATAAGAGCAGATTGAGTTTGATAAAATAAACAGTTTAATTTGATTGGTGATAAAAATTTACCAATCAAATTGCCATTAAACGTAAAAGGTTACGAAAATAAAAAAATACTACCGGCAAGATTATTGATATTAACGGGTAAATAAATAACTGGTAAATATTAATTAACTGGTAATAAATATTAATTAATAAATATGCAACTCGCAAAATATATATTGGGGTGTATATTGAGTTGCCTCGTGTTATCGGCATTTAATTTGCTGTACTAATTTATATTCAAGTTTTTACAACAGTTTGGTAAATGAAGTTGGTTGAGATTCATATGTAAATTAACGAGACGCAGACATCATAGCTTACCGTCCCATTAACAGTTGGCGTTGTTAAAGTGTCGTTGGTACAACTTTGCAATTAAAATCCATCGTCGTTCTTATTTTATTAATTTCGCGTTGTATCGGGTCTAGTCATCCTTGTCATCTTCTATTTTTTCACTACAAGGTCAGCTGCATTGTGATCTGTCAGAAGTCACATATTTCGCGTGCGCTCCTCGCAGTTGCTCACAGCGAGGAGTCGTTGCGAATAAAATTGTCACATTGATTGTTTCAATAATCTTCCGATTATGCGAGTGCGCGGCACGTAACCGGCAAGTAACACTCGATTCGAGGGTGTTCAACTCGAACTCGCGCACCTCATGCGTAATGGATAAACATACCGGTCGCAACTTTCACCGGTGCTCTTACATCGGTCATCGTGCGCCATGCTCGAGGTTAGCGAGTATAAATTTTTGTCTTGAGGAAAATGATATTTTTGCAAAGGCACTACTAAATTGACTTTCGTCTTTAATTTGCAAGTCGTGTTATCTGCGACTAAGAGTGGCGTCTATGCAGTTTCATCTGCAGTAAAAATATATTATTGTTACATTAATATAATTTCCTTATAATTGGTACATAACTTCTTTTCAATTATTTTAGTCCTTTTTTATAGTCTTTTTTTTATATAGAAATAATATTAGAGTGATAATTCTTTTTATCGTTCTATTACGAAGAGATTTGCAGAGATAATCTGACTCTAAACACTGAATATTTTCTCAATAATTACATGATAATCTCGAATATAATATTGATAAATTCATGATTATTCTATAAAAAGAATAACAATCTTACAAGAAAACTCAAATGCATCGATCTTCATTAAAATCAATAGTCGCATTATCTGCGATAAAAACGTTCACGTAGTTTCGTAGTACAAATATTATTGTTGCGGCAACATTCATTTATAAAAATAATATACCGATAACCGTGGAAAGAAACGGGAGGTATCGACGTGAATCGAAGACTCAATGCGTTTTCTCCTTACTTTACTTTGTAATAACGCGGAGCGCGTTAACGACACTTCCGCGTGTTTCTCGCGAGAAATGAAATTACATCTCACCGCGGTTTCACCCGCGAAGCTTCAATTATCGAGTCATACGCATTCGACGTGCATTAGCTCGGGAAAAGGAGAGCTTGTCGCAACTCCGAGGACACTTTAATTCCCCGTGTAACCGCACGGCATTTCTATTACTGTCCGCGCCATGATGTTTCAGCTGCGCTAAACTCGGAACCTCGTTTGCTTCAGCGTCGTCGTAACGGCACTGTTCGGCGCGACTCGGTGAGCCGAACGAGGAGCCGAATGAAAGTCAATTCATTCACGATCAGCGAATGGGAAAGATAAAGCGGAATTATCGATCGCAGACGCGAGTAGGCTAATTGAAATCATTCGGCAAATGAAAACTCACGCGATAATTCGCCGACCATTAAATCGCCATTTGTTACGGAGCCAATTAAAAAGCTGCGGCTCTCCCAATCGTTTTATTTTTTCATTTTAAGATTTGTAGATATTACATTTGTAAATTTTTATACAACGATTCATAAATTTAGTTTACAAATGTCGAGAATAAAAACATGAATAAATCAATTTATAAAATAAATAAATTTTATGAATAAAAATATGACAGAATAATATAAATAAAAGGTAATTATTTAACTTCAATTGATGTGATTTTCATTTTTCGTTATATATAGAGTAGTGATTCGAAACAATTTTTTGTCCTTAGTATACTGTTATATTCTTGAACAAATTCTAAGACTATTTTTCCCTTTGCAAAATGTTAAAATTCGATGCTTAGTTATTGAGTTATTAAGATAAATTTTATACTACAGGCTCCGGGTGCTGCGGAAGGCAGACAGGGGCGGAACAATTGACATTGGGCGCTTGGTGCAATGTGCTGATCGACGCATGTGATAACATTTATATACACATTATTTTTAAAACTTACACAACTTTCAACAATCGCGGGTGCGATAGGAAATACAATATTATAAATTAGTAGGATACGATACTACAACGTAATATTTGAGAGTAAAATATTCGTTATTTTTTCAACTGCAAATATTCACGAACTTTTTTTAACTGCAAAATAAACTAAAAAAATACGAATGAGAAGAACGGAGTGTTAGTTACGTTTAGAAAGCATAAGATATTTTTACTTTTGAGTGAATCTACGAATTTGTATTCTTTTGTAAAGATTGCTTATTTTGAGATTAACAATTTTTATCGCTTATTAACGCACCTTCGTTTCCGTAAGATTAACGAGTTTTATTTATAATTTTCCGTCCGATTTGATCGCGAGTTATGGACATTCTTCCTTTCTTCCTTTCTTCTCATGGCAGGTAAAATTAAAGAGAACAGAGAGACAATTAAAAATGTGACATTTATTCGCGTTTTATAAGTCGGATGATTCGTAGCTTGTGTCTTACAACTTTCTATTCGGTCTCGTTCGCGTATCTCATCAATCGGTTTCGCTCGCAAAATATCGAATATTTTATTCTTAAATATTACGTTATGATATAGTATTCTTCTAATTTATAATCCTTTATTGACTATTACACCCGCGATTATTAAAATTTTTAAGTTTTAAAAATAATGTGTATAAATGTTATATCACATGCGTCGATCAGCATGTCGCATCAAGCGCCCAATGTCAGAGCCTACGTGGCGCGCGTGTAAACGTCAATTGTTCCGTACCTGCCTTCTATACCGGCCTGTAAACAAACTGTTTATCTTAATAAACTAATAACTAAGCATCGAATAACATTTAGCAAAAGGAAAAACTGTCTTAAAATTTGTTGAAGAATACGGTATATTAAGGACAAAAAATTGTTCCGGATTATCCTGTATATCAAAGAATGCTCTAAATAAATAAATAAAAAAGTACGTTCATATTTGACCGATAGAAGCAACAGAGACCGATAAAAGTTCGAGATTTTCCTTTTTCTGTTCATTTTTCCTAAATTTGACGTTGATTGACTCGATGATTAGATTCTGGTAAATCACAAATTTTCTTAATCCACCGCGAGCACTCGTCGAGCCGTGGAAATAATCGCACAAACTTAGATTTAAGAGGTGTGCGCCTCGCTTACATAATTAATATTGCATATTCACAGAGCTTCACGCTCACTAGAGGCGCGGGTAAATTACGCGTCGCTCCTGTCCGCTCATCGGCTCAATTTCACTGCCGGTTTCGCCGCAGTTTCGATGCCGGAAGTCTGATGCCACGGTTTCTCGCGAAATCGCTTCGTCGATGTTACTTACTTTCCATGTGTTCGATGGCGGAGGGCATGTAGTTGCGATCGCAGTAGATAGCCGCGAGATTCTGCTCCATGTTTTTCGCGGGTTCACTTGCGAGAGAGAGAGAGAGAGAGAGAGAGAGAGAGAGAGAGAGAGAGAGAGAGAGAGAGAGAGAGAGAGAGAGAGAGAGAGAGCGAGAGCGAGAAGAAAGCAAAAATCTATGGTATATATCCGCAAGCACGGCTCGTGATTTCGTTGCACCGGCACTCGTTTCCTGCCCGTTTTCTCTCGACGCGACTCGCGAACTCGGAAGAACTCGAAAGGTACGCGCGTTCGCTTGGCCGCTCGCGAGCTCGCTCGCGACGACGACGACGAGAGTGAGAGGAGAAGCCGAACACAGTGAGTGTGAGTCCCCACTTTTATCGCCGCGGATTGCGAAGATCGCAATGTGGTAACGAATTATCACGGTGCGAACCCACGGATCTCCCCCCGCGCGCGTAACTTTCTCTCTCTCTCTCTTCCGTCTCGCGGTGCACTTTCGGCCACGCCGACGTTCCGCGAACGCGAGTCAGTTCCCTTTTGGCTGAGTCATCAAGAGCAGCACCGCAGTTCTTGATTCCTTCCCCCACAACAGTAGAGATTGTGTACTTATTTCTAATTCTAAAGGGGCAGAAAGTGCAGCTTAGTTCAGTCGAAATAAATAGACTTACGGATTATCGCGGAAAGGAGGAAGCATGTCGGCGCATTGAACGGATTCGTCATCTGAATTGTTTTCGATTTCTTCCTTCTCGAATTCCAATTAAATATTTCGGTATTTAAATAATGCAAGAAAATATTTTTGCAACGTATTAATCTACTTATATTAAGTATATGTTATTGACAGAAATTCGTCCACTTCTCTCGCAGCACCATCACGTAATATGTATTTGTTTCAATATTTTATTATTTAACTCATGCAACAATATGTATTTAAAGCAATGTATTTATATTAAATATTATTAATACTCAATTATTATTTTACTTTCATCATTCGGAGAAGTCGGCTTTGTAAAGATTTTTCAGATGTGTGACGTTTCGCATTGCGATTTATCTGATATTACGTGGAAACATCCATTGTAATCGAGTACGAAAGAACGCAAACGTGATTACTGAACGATTTGATTACGGTATATTAACACATGGCCGAAGAATTTTGCGCAATCTGTAATTTGTCATTGACGATTCGACTAGAGAATACAAAGTGTTTTAATGAGCGAGCATGAGCGAATGAGTTGCATCACCGAAAAAAATTGTGTAATATATAGATTCTTTTCTTCTCCCCCTTTCTCTACAAAAAAGAATATATGACAATTTTTTGCTTATTTTCTAATTATAAATTGGATTGGACGTTATCAAACTATATAAGTCTTAATTTTAGATATTTGAATATTTGATCTTACTTATACTTTTTTATTTGTTTTTCAAATTATGAGTAAGAGCACCTTAAGACAAGCAAAAATTAAGTGTTTTGGAAAATTAAGTGCGTTATTAAATTTTGATATCAAAATAAAATATAAAATATCTCGCAAATATTTGTTTACTTCTCTCATTAATCTCTAATCTGGATATTTTTATAATGCAAATGCATGGGGAGAATATATTTATGTAAGGAAAAATCAATCTATTAAAAGGTCAATTTTTGATTTCGGATATTCGGATCATATTGATAAAATTAACTTGCCGCGGAAAATTAATTAAAAATGACAACACAGAGAAATCATGATACAGAATTCACACTGTAAATTCAAAACCAACTTATCGTTGGTTAAATGAAAGTAAATCGATGCACATATATTTCAATATTTTTCTAATTTTCTCGCTTTTCGGACATTTTCGGATTAATTTACGAACGGTAACATTCAATAATAATTACTACGAGCATGAAAGACTCGCGGGCTTTGGAAATTATTATTTATTTTTTTTATTAAGTTATCAATTGACGATTAAATGGATTGTCGTGCACCCGGTGACTCGCTGTTAATAACTTGTTTTTTACTGATTAACGATAATGTCGTCTAGTCGGAAGTCGGCCGAAGGCGAAGCGTCGATCGCTGCGTATCTTCGAACGATACTCTTTACCGACCGCGGCACAATCGAATTCTCCGTTGAAGTCGCTCGCAGACGTGAATGAACGCATCGGGATGCATTCGCAACGGGAGAATGCGTACATAAATCTTGCCTACGTTTTACCTCTTAACATTATTTTTCCTTCTATATTTTCCAGTTAAATACCGAATTTCGCAAAATCCGGCGGAAAATATTGCTGAACAATATCGAATTTTTCCCTTTTCTCTTTTTCTCTCTCCTCTCTCTTTCTCGGGGTCGAAATGCGAGACAGCGAGGCAGAATAATTTTTCGACAACGAAATTGATATTTGTACATATTCGCAATAATTCTCCGATAATTCACCGACTCGTGGCCCTCTGAGCGCGAATGGTATCTCAGGTATCGAAGTCGTCTCGGAATATCGAGTAGTAACTTCGGCAATAAACGATGCGAAGAAGTTACATTAAATATTTGCGATGAGTTATTGCAGTGCGGTCGAGGCGGCGCGCGGCGTGAAAAATTTCATCGCTAGTGCTGTGAGGAAATATTGGAAACTCGGGCAAATAATGGATGTTTCTGTGTTACGATGTTGATTTGTATCTAGCTTGTGATGTACACACACACACACACACACACATATATACGTACATGCATACATTTTTTTTTCTCAACAATCTCATGTTCGGGGGCACTCGTCTCCCGCGCGAGAATATATATATTATACAATAATATTTCGACAGACGCGCGGGAAGAGAGAAAAATATGTACACGTGTTATAGATTTTTCCCACGCGTTTCCGTGGGGAACGTAAAGATATCAATTTCCCAATTTCCTCACGTCCATGCATGGCACAATAATTTCATAACTCGGCTCATTTTTCTCTTTCGCTATGACTGGCCACCACGTCGAAGCTCGTCGACCGGCCAACGAGGATGAATTCGTTGAGCGCGAAAGTTGAATTTAATCAATTTGCCGGTCGCATCGATTTTCTACGGGAACTGAGAAACAAAATTAAAGCGGGGTAAAGGGAAATAAGGAGGAATACCACCCTCTCGAAAAAACGATGTCGGCGATATCTCATCGCGCCGAATCTCGTGGAGGGGGCGAACGATTGAGCGAGCGGTTTGATAAATATCCTCTCATGAATGATGAGAGGGGAGCAGGGGGGAGAGTGAAGAAGAGGGAGACGGACCAGATGTGGCGTTTAACTAGTTTTCCCCGATGTGGTTTTTTCATCGCTTGGCCTAAACGTCGTGTTCCAATTAAACGCCGGCGAGGCGGGCAGGAGGGCGAGTACGAGGACTGAGGGATATTAAGGGAAGGGTGAGTGACGGGGGGAGGAAAAGAGCGAAAGCGATCGATGGCCCGGCGAATATCGGGCCGAATCTCGAGGGCTCGCGAATCGAGGAAGCTACTTCCGCCCTGAGCTCCCCGACGGCGCGCGGCAAACTATCCGCTTTCGGGCTTGTATGTGTGACCTTGGGGGATTAGAAAGAGGATGAAGAAGAACGACTGGGGGGGGGAGGCGAAGAGGGTCGATTCCTCAGGCGCATGCCTGAGATTAAGCGCATGCATGCATGCGAGACCTCCGCCGGCTTCTCCAGCGGTGCTGCTCGGCGAGCTTTTTAAAGGTTGAAGGGCCCGCTCGCGGAATCAGCCAGCGCGGAGGGTGCTGGTCGCGTTCAGTGGGGGTCGGTCGTCGACGCCGGCGAACTTTGTTCTATCGTAAGGCTCGGTTACGCGGTGTTGCGCCGCGGGCGGTGCGTGTCATAATCGTATGGTAATGAAGGGCCAATTAGAGTGGACTCGCGAGGCGGCGAACGCGTGTAATATGTGTCATGACTTAAAGCCGCTGCTCCCTAGGTCGCGTTGTATCTTGAAACGCCGCGGATGTTGCGTCAACTTCGATTTAATCGATGGATGATTTACTAATGTAAGAATCAAGAAGTTTAACGGCTAAATCGGAGATATCGCGAAAAACGAGCGAACACGTGAACGAGCGCGAGGATATTGATATTTGCCAACATTTTCGTATCCTTCACATTCCTATATTTAAATGATTCTTTTGCACTTTTGAATTCCGCGTTTAACTTCGATAAAAAAATATCATTATGTCTTGATCGTTAAAAAAGTTTTTGACGTTCAGATCAATGCGCAAGTTAAATGGGAAGTGTTAGGAAAATTGGATATATTTTATAAAGATTTTCCAATTTTCTCACAGCTCATATGTTTCAGTATTTAACACGTTCATTGTCGTTCACGCGATATCGCGTGTTGCGGCCCCTCACCAAACGGCAGTTTATGCGATTGTTTTTTATTATGAGTGACAAACCAGGACCCTCGAGAAGACTCAGTTCAATGCCAGTTCAATCGTGCAAAAAAACGACTAAAAATAAATAAAAGAAAAAATAACTTTGGCCACCACACGAAACTCAAATTTTCAGTCCGACAATGAACGTGTTAAGTGACTTTGCTCGCTATATTTTTAATTTCATATTTCGCGTTTAATCTTAAGAAGTAGATATTATCACGATTTTCTGCCGTTAGAAAAATTTTTCTAAATTTTCTAGATCACAAAATTGAGGTAGACAGGAAGTATTAGAAAAATCAAGTAGAGGAAGAGATAGCCATTATGGCTCTTTTCTGTAGGTACGTACAGTGACCTCTCTTTAATATTTCCACTATTAGATGGTGAATTCTTTATACACACACATATACACAAATTCACATATTAGTTTAGTAGCCCGCCGTTACGTAACGGCTGATATACCAATATACAATAGCCGACATTTGTTACAACGCATTTTCGTTTTCGAGCATTTTAAAACGTTCCCAAGGTACGTACAGCATTTTGGATGCATAATCACACAAATAGATGTACACTCGAGTGTTTTGTTCGTTATTTAATATTTTATTTGGCTGTACACATTTCGAGTTATGCAAAACTAAACAATAGCATGACATTTTGCTAGCGTGGCTTCCTAAGCGTGCTGATAATGCGACCTCTTTCTCGAGGTTTTCATATTGAAGTAGTTATTCGATAGGTCGATTGTAGCTCTACTGCTAATCTATTGTTCACGTTACATGTACTATAGATTTTCAATACTGCCTGTATACAGCCTACATGCGGAAGAGGGCTTTTTCTTTTATAGAGAAACTATTCTAATTTATTTCGAATAAATATATGAATTTGTAATGAAACACTGTATTTCTTTTAACAAAACCAATATTTAAATCTATTTTAACCCCTTCCGTGGCAGGGCAAAATTCAGTAAAATGCACTGAAATCGCCCCAAAAAAAAATGACGGGGCGAATTTTTTCAATAATTTGTATACTTCAGTTTTTTTGGTCGCTGAAGCCGAATTTGAGGTCAAAATATAGAAATTCACTAAATGTTTAACCGTACCACTTACGGCACGATTTTGGCTGGACGCACCGGTGCGTCCGTGCCACGGAAGGGGTTAATGGAGAGAGCGTATTACCACTCTTCATTCTTTTTGACTC